CGAGCTCGTTCCAAAGTTGTCACAATTGGAGGTGGTGGTGGATTGTTGTACAAATCCGATTTGGACTCCCAGACAGTCAGTGTGAGCTCCAGTGTTTCGGAGAAACCTGGTGGTGGTGGCAAACCACACAAATGTGAAGCATGCAACAAATGTTTCTCCCGTTCCGATGAGCTCACCAGACATGCACGTATTCATACAGGAGCGAAACCATTTAAATGTGTCCAATGTTCTCGCGAATTTTCCCGATCCGACCATTTGACCACTCATATGCGTACACATACAGGCGAACGACCGTTTGTATGCGAAGTTTGCGGTCGATCGTTTGCGCGGTCGGATGAACGAAAAAGACATTCAAAGATCCATCAGAAATCACTACACAAGGATTCTGCCGGTTCATTATCAGACAAAGCACATGCTGACCGGGGAGCGGCGGTAAGCAGCTCTACCGGTTCCAAAACATCTTCAGGAAACAAACGCAACGCACCAGCTCGCATCGTTCCTGATTCACGGTACACTTCCGGCTCCGATAGCTTGTCCGCAAATGTTGTTGCCGCCAACGCGAACACAAGCGGTACCACATTGAACGCGGAACAAGTGACTATTCAAAATCCTGTCTTGGTAACAGGAACTCAACCGACTCTGGAAGTTGACAGTCGTTTACTCACGGCGCCCGGTACTTTAGATTGTGAAAATCTGGGTACTGGTATTCAAAATCTGACAGAACAACGAGTCATTCTTACCGCCTGTGAAACCCAGCCGGGTCAGGTCACACTGCATGCATTTCAGAACCCTGCGTTTGGTGCTCCTGGAGCAGCCGCAGCTGCCGCTGTGTGGCAGCCACACTCTCAATTTATACTGGCGGCTTTGCCATCTATGTCCCTGACTTCCGTTCCGATTCTGAGCCATCTTAATCCAGACTTACAAAACAACATAAATTTGGCAGCCGCTAGCGCATTCGCCGCAGCCCCATCGCAAGGTCAAATATTTGCTGTATCTCCGTCTGTGGTTTCGGATAGTGAATTACCGTTGAATTCATCTAATGTAATCAGCACACTACCGCAACATAATCAGCATCCGCAACACGCACAAGGCCATCCAGTCTCTCAACAGCCGGGTACTCTTACCTCAACATCACTATCGAACTTCACTATTCTCTCGGCCTTACCAGCGGGAGTGACTGCTGGACGTCCTGCAGACGCATCACCTGTTTTTACAACACCAATTAGCACAACCAATAGTGTACACGTGGGTGTTGGTAACGTCTCTGGGTCGACCACATCACCATCTACTTCCGTACTTAGTCCTGCAGCGTGTTACACGATACAAGCCTCTCTGATTCCCACACAAACGCCAGTCAGTCACACCGCCTCGTCGGCATCTTACACTGTCTCTAGTCAACCGACTCAACCCGCCCAAAGTCAAACACCATTATCCCCCTACTTCACCGCATTTGCCTGCACCCCAGAAACTGTAACGGGTCCCAACAGACACACAGCAGGAGCTTTCTTTTCCCCTGTATTTGCAGCTGCTTCTTCACTCACCAACAGTGAAGTTGCTACCGCATCAGGTCGCGAGGCTTTTCCTTCTGGTTCGTTAAGCATGCATTCGGCCCTAGTCACTGGAAGTCCTGCAGCCGCTGGAGGAAGCACAGTGGCAGGTTCAAACGTCAATACTGGCAGCGGAGTAAACGCCGGTG